GCGAACATTGTGCGAAATTTAATCGCGATGGCGCGAGTTGAATCAACGAGACTTTTTTTGGGACCGTCGTTGAAGCGTCTCGATATTCTTTCGCGACTTCAACTTTATATCGTCTGATAATCAAACGAGATAACAGACTGTCGAGTTTCGACTCGTTATTAGACGCGGGAATATAAGCGCGCACAGAAGCCGCGTACGCGCACTCGGAATATCGATACGTCTTTTATTGCCGCAATAAAGTAAGAGAAAAGTCGTGCTATCTCTCGCGCAGCTCAAATCGGCTGATAGAACGCGAACAAAGCGTAGTGCGCGCTTGTTCCTCCTTTTTTTTCGCAACAAAAAAATGATCCAAGTGTCCGTTCGAGAAAGATTTACTGTAGAACTTCGATAATTTCGAGCATCACAATTTCGACTTATCCTTTAGTCTCCAATAGTTTTCGCCACTATTGACGGTCCCCCGATTTTCAAATGACTGCGCAACCGCGTTGAATGTGAGTCTCACTCTAAAAAAGCCTAAAAAAAAAAAAAAAAAAAAAAAACTAAAGTCTAGACTCAAACGCGCTCGAACTTACTTAGAGTTCTGGTGTATTGAATACGTCGGACATATAATATCAATCACAAATTGAGAAATTAATGAAAATTAATCGGAACACTGCGTGTTATTGAAATAAAGATTTGTCCAAGTGTTTATGAAGTTTTAGCGTGAGGTACAACATAATACGACGGATCTGTCTTGCTCGACAGAATATAGCGCTTTGGTTAGCGCGAACCTCGTGTAATCCTCCGGCTGGCGAGACTAACGAGCGATGCGCCGCTGCAAAAAGCGTGGAAATTCTACCGGAAAGTTTTAACGATGTACTGTCAGGAAAGACGTGCGAAACTTAGAGACGAGCCGTAGATTGACGTTGAAAAATGAGAGACGTGCGCGCGAAATGATGACATGTGGGTATGTTCGGTTGTATCGCGCACACGCGACTGTGTGAAATGCGAAGTTGTTTTGAGCAAGTGATATTTAACATACGTTTGCGTTTTGCGTGAAATAACTCGTAAAAAGTTGCGGCAAGTACGCTCTGTGAAATTATCTCTCGCACATGCGGAAGTCGAACCAAACTTTGCACCGGAATAAAATAATACATCACGGAACAACTGCGAACAAAATGAGAAATATTTACGTGGTATGGTATTTACGAGACATTACGGTAAGTTTTTTTTTTTGTAGAGAGGGAGAGACACATTTAGAAAACTGCTTTTCGCGATAAGAAATAATGTAAGTTTTCTTGATATTCTCTTTCAACGTTATAATTTAGTAAACGTTGTAAGAACTCGCGCGCGCGTGCACAGTATAAAACTCTCGCGAATAAGCGGTAAAAGGAACGTCGTCTCTACTCCAGTTGGTGAAAAAGTACCGCGAGAAAGAAAGAAAGAGAGAGAGAGAGAGAGAGAGAGAGAGAGAGAGAGAGAGAGAGAGAGAGAGAGAGAGAGNAGAGAGAGAGAGAGAGAGAGAGAGAGAGAGAGAGAGAGAGAGAGAGAGAGAGAGAGAGAGAGTCTACTTGCCGCTACTAAGTGGCTTTTAATATTACATCGCACAATGCAGAAAATTGCTTTTAAGGAAGAGCTTTACGTTGAGTTACATTCTTTGCACGGGAACGCGAGCTTTTTAATCCAGAAATTTCGAAAAGCGTCGGCGGCACATACACGACCAACGACTCATTTGCTATATCGATCGCGTCTCGATCGTCCTACTTTTTCGCCGCGTGTCCGCCGATTCGGTCTAGACGAGTAAATTGCGTTGTCGACGCGTTTAATTGCGCGCTCGCCAGATTAGCGCTTGCCGGTCAAGCTCGCAGTCGAATCGCATGTGATGAGATTGATAAAATAACGTGTCGCTATTACTTTGTGACGCTTGCGCGCTTAATAAAATATCCGATTAAATGCCGAATATCGAGAAAGAATTTATTTATACTATCCATCTCATTTCAAAGACTGTTATAAGTTTCTTTTTCTCTTTGTATTTTTATCTCGCTTTTTGTTTTTTTATGAAAATTATATTTTTTCGGAGAGATGCGAAAAACACTTTTCGTACAGTTGCAAAAGTAAATCTTACGGTAAGTCGCGTGGTCAAACATTTTTTGCATGAATAATATAAATAGAAAGAGTGTAGATAAAGTGACAAGAAAGAGAGTTTCGCAATGTTTGTCACACGTAGAAAAACTAAAGTATTTTGCATAGGTGGCATCATCCAGGTGGTTACATGTGGCTAACATGGTCTCTCGTTGCGTGTGTCATGATGTTTCGAATTTTTGTGTTTCGCGAGATTTTATACCTTTCCCACGTATGTCGAGTAGTAGTAGTGACGCCCTGTGTGTACTGTAAAAAGGACAAGCTGGAGAAACAAACAACCAGAATTCACAGCCAGCAGCACGTATTGATCGGTACCGTAATCGCGGCTTTAACGTTCTCTCAAAAAAGAAAAAAAGGAAACACGGCCGCTAAATAAATACGAGAAAAAGACGAGGCGACTGATCGGAAAGCGGATATTCTCTCACCGACATGTGAATCGTGACCAAGGCATCCTGTGGACTTTCGACGTATTGCTCTTTTGGTTTACTTGTCGAGACGAGGATCAGAAAGATAAACTTCCGTATTGTGTAACAAGAGTGCGCAATAATGTTTTATCGACTTCAACATCGCGCGGTAAATCACTCGCGCTGAGTTTACAACACGGATTATCAAATATCTACAAAGTGAATTTTCAATTACACGTAAAAATCTCTCTTTCTGCGAGAGAAAATTTTCATATAATTTCTATTTGTAACAAATAATCAAATATAAACAAAATAAAAAATAATCTTAATCTCCGTGGCAAGTTATACTTTTCAAGCCGGAGTACCGACAAATAAATTAAAATTTTTTTTGTTTTACGTAACTGTTACTTTGATGTCATTGAATCTGTGATTATCGCAATTTTTTCCAGTTATTAATCCGCAACAGGATATAAAATACACACACATATATATATATATATATATCATTTAACAAATGTTGACGGCGCGATTTCATCCGACATGTAACGGTAAATCTCTCGAATCGCTCGTATACGCGTCACTCCATTACAGTCTGACATCGTGGACACCGGATAAGCTCGTCGATCCTCGCCTGGACAGCAAACACGAGCCGCGCTGACGGATGCATTTAGACGGTTCTTCGCGAGAGCTCGCGCCGATTTCTCGGACACACCGTAGAACCGAATATGAAAACGCGCCGGACATCGTATGCGCGTGTGGTATATCTCACGACGTAGAAAAAATGGTGGTCAATAAAAATAACACTGCAGTCCACACACCACGTAACAATATCCAAATATATATACGTATGTAATATATGCACACACATGTATACAGGGGATGCGTCCCAGAATGCCCCCCTAGTTTTTATTTTCATCCACAGATTTTTGGACCAATTTGAATAGATCAAAAAGTATACATCGATTTGTCATGCACAATTCAAAGCAGAAAAGCTTCATTTTTTGTTCTTGATAAATTTGAAAAAATTTATAATATAATTTGTAATAATTCGAAAAGAAATGAGAGCGTGTCCGAATCGAATTGTTTTTTCAAGACAAAATCGACTCCAAATTGATAAAAAAAAAAATCTCTACATACACACACACACACACACACACACACGAGAAAAAGAGAAAGCATCCGGCGCGTCCTGTGTACATGCGTACAGAGACGGATGAAAAATATAAAATATATACGTAAATATATCACGTGACGTCCAAGACTAGCGCATCGCAGGAACGTTTATTACGGGTATCAAGGAGGCATTCTTTGAGACAAAGAAAAGAAATAACACAAAGTGAATAAGAAAATGAAAAAACGAGCTAAAAAGGACAACGTGAGAGGTAGACCGATGATGAATAAGTAAGTTCTCGAGATTAAATGCTTGGAGACTGCGGTTTTCTCGTGCTCTCGTTGTGACGTCGTGGCAGATTTGCGGCACCTTAAAGCCGTCATAGGTCCAGGAGCCTAACTTCAAAACACAGGTCTGTACGTCGTACGGAAAGAACTCAACGTCGATGGAGCAGGAGGATTTATATACGGCCGGCGGTTGCCACACGACCAATCCCGAATAGTAGACCGTGGCCTTGGTCATCAGCGTCACCTCGTAGTTCCCGTCGGCGCTGTAATCACCGAAGAAACGAGCCGAGCGTGATCACGATGGGCTCGGAGAGAAGGTCTCCGGATGCTGCCGCCTTCTTCTCTTTATTTTCCATCTTTTTCTTTTTTTTCCCTTTCTATCCGGCTTCTTTTTGTCTGTTCAATATTCGATTTTCCGCGCACCGAATGCGTCTTGTGCGCGCGTTCTCACGAATATCACTCTATTCCCCAAGTGAGCAAAAAAGAGATTTCGTAAGGGGAAATTGATTGATTCGGCCAACTTTTTTATATAGCGCGTTTTGACTTGCACAAAAAGAGCACGACACCGATCGAAAATCGACGCGAACAAATCGGAAGAATAAATAAATTCAAATAATTAAAGAATTGTTTTTCACGCGATTAAAAAGTTTTTTTCACGATAATGTTTTTACTAAAAATTGTTTTTGTAGAAACTTTATACATCTCACGCTTTCAATTTATAACTCGTGATGCGCACAATAAGCACGATCACTTCGGATTACGTGGCAGCATCCGTCTTCCCACGAGGGCGATTTTTTTTTTTTTGTGTTCTCCCTCTTCCGATCGCCGGAGACCTACGCGACGAGCCGATCGTCTGTGTGATCTAGTCTAGGATCTAGCTCAGGATCTAGCTTGATCCCGCCATACCGGAAACGCATCTCGTACGCAGACTGCGTCGGATCCGCGTCTCGGACGTGTTCTCGACAGGTTTGAACCGGATTGGGTTTTTGACGAGTTGAGGGTTCAAAGAGACCAGGGATCAAGAGTCAGGAAGAAGGGAGGCGGACTAACGACTTAACGGCTACCATGCAAATTTACCTTGAAGCCGTCATAGGTCCACGAACCGAACTTGAGGACGCAGGTCTGCTCGTCGAAGGGGAAGTACTCCACGTCGATCTCGCAAGATGACTTATATATGGCCGGCGGCTTCCACTCGACCAATCCTTGATGGTAGATTGTGGCCTTCGTGGCCAAGGTCACCTCGAAGTTGCCGTCCGCGCTGCGAGCGAGCACATTAGTGGTTCTGGGCGCTGCGGCGGTCGAGCTTACTTTGTACTTCCGATTTTGACATCAAGCCGTCTTTTTTTCTTTTTATTTTAATTTATTTCTTGTACGTAGAGTGTACATGTGTGTAAGCGTCTTAAAATAATTATGATAAATTTCTAAATAGGCAGAGACAGAGATCTAACGCATTTTGTGTGTGAATCTGACAGTTTTTTTTTCTTCCGATAAGAGAGCGCGCGGTTGATCAATTGTGAGAAAATCCGCGAAACTTAATCTTTTTGCGAGAGGTTTTAATCGGAAAAGTAGAATTAGCTAGCTGGACACTCGAAGCGAAATCGGATTATCGCGCCATTACGCGGCACTGACTCTTAATTTCGATCCAGTAAATCTCAATCGATAATTCGGCTTTAATCAAGTACGGTATCTCTCGTCTCGATAAGCCGCGTTTCTATGTCTGTAAAACCAGCAACAACGTCGAAATTATACTATAATTGTGTTTGAATTAAGTTTTGGAGGCCAATCCCGAAAGTAGTGCAATTTCGGGTCGACCCGTAGCAAGGTCGGAGCAAGCTCCGTTCACTCGCCTGTGTTCAAAAACAAGTTAATATACCGAAATCTCCAGTGGAGATTATATCAGATATTAAGCTGATAAGAACAGATACTACACATTTGATCTTAGCCAAAAGGCCGAGAAGCGATGCCTGTCAACGCTTTCGGAATGAATATATAAATCTCTGGGCAAAATTCAAACACGAGAAAGCACGACTCGTAGCGGCGACCGAGAAAACTATTGCGTATAGGCTCCACAATTGTACTCTCTAGCGTAACAGAAAAGAAAAAAAAAGCAAACAGATAAAAAAAGATAGCAAAATAGAGATAGATAGAAAGAGAAAGAGAGAGAGATTCAAGTAAACTACACCGAGCGTGAGATTTCGATGCGCGTGAACTTAGCGCGTGCCTCTCGATATAACGTTCGTTTATCGAAGTACATCACACTAACGAGAAACGTCTATTTTTTTATTTCTGAATTGCGCTTCCTCATCGTCTCTGAACTAAAAGAACTGAAAAGAAGGGACGGTTGGTATTCCTCTAGATGTTGCACAAATACAGATATCCGCGGCTGATAGCATCCCGTTTACTGTCGAGAGTTCGTATCGGCCACGTGGGGCTCGAAGTAAACTAAGCGCGACGGTTTCGAGTTTCCCCAAAGTCGTAGAGAGAATCCGGAGATACTAAGTCATCGTGGATGATTGCGGTGTGCGCCGGGATTATTTTGCTATCGCTTTCCTTCCTTGTAAACTATCTTCCCGAGCTCGAAAGTTACGATCGAGACAGGAAGTAAAGACCGCGAGTTTCTAAGCCGGCAAGTAACAGAGCTGATCGTCGTTGAACCGCGAATTACATCGGAGAAGCGCAGTTTCGCGATGACTCGATTTGATTGAAAAAAACATGTTGGCTTTGTCAATATATAGCTTCGTTGTATTTGCGCATCGAATTGTTATTTGTGTACTTGCTGATTCGAAAATAAACGATTAAATTTGTGTACAAAAAGCTCTCAAATATATGTGTGTGCGTAATGAGAAATATCTATTTTACAATTCCTTCAATTTCCGATTTTATTGGTTTGTGTTTACACACACACACACACACTGTTTTTACAAACAATACTCAATTGACACTTGCATGCTGTTTTACTTTGATTACGCTTTCAACTTTGATGTTACCGACTAAACCCGTTTGAGGGACGAAGAAAGAGATAAAGAGAAAAGAAACGTGCATTAATAATTCAACCGAAAGCTACCTTGGCGGAGCGGTTTACTCTCTCTGCCCCGACTTGCTCATTCTTCCTCCCTCTCCCTCTCGCCTCGTGCGCATGAAACTTTACCGAGTATTTGACACAAACAAACAGGCGTACAAAGCGAATGAATGTATGAATCGTGTCGCTCTGTATGCAGTTATAATTCGTGCGCGTTGAATCTTTTGTGTGGATACACGCAGCCACTTGGCAGATATTAAGCAAACTATACGCTGCATGATATACAGAATTCTGGTAACTGCCACGAAAGAGGATCGAACGGTTCGCTCGGGGTGAAATGCAATTTTCGTCACGCGACAAACGTTTCAAAGTTTCATGGAAAACAAATCAAATATCCACGTGAATTTTGTGTCTCTTTTAAATCGTAAAAATATTTACATATTTGCTATATAGGCACGTATACACGGAAAAACATGATGTTGAATTAACAGCATCAGTTTAATTCTTCGCGGACAGACATAGATCTTCCAGGCCCACTCAAAACTTGCGCATCGGCGTATCTCTAGTATAAATTAGTTTTCTTTTAAACGCTTATATCTTCGAAACTACTAGATTTTTTTCAACTTGTCTTTTTTGGTCGACGCAGAATCGTTCAAACTTTTGATTAAAAAAACAAAAATGAAAAAATATTGATTTTTCGCGGAGATATTTAATTTCAAAGTCGTTTAGGTCTCACGGACTCAGTCTGTTCAACTAGTCGTCATTTTTTAAGTCTGTCCACGAAAAATTAATTAAAATATGTTCTGTTGATGCAACATTAATGTCATTAAATTACACAACTAGTTGCTTTAAGAATCTAAATGTTAAATCAGTCGCACACGCATTTATTTTTGCGGCAGCCCGCGACGTCAGCTTTAATGGAAACAATTCCAAAATTTTTTTTTGTGTATTTATGCACATACTTTATTTGAGAACAAAAAAGAGAAAAAAATAGATTTTCGATCCTCTTGTTAATTTGTATTAAGTGCCACTGCGCACTTCAATTTCGAGCCTCTGCACTTCTATCTCGCCGCGTTTCACAAAATTTGCATATGTCCGTTCGCTCTCTCTCTATTGTCGGGTATAAACGGCGAGATCGCAATTTCCTGCAGCGAGAACTCCCAATGATTGTCGATGAATCGTTTACGTGAAAGCGTATAGCGTGTGCGTTACAATGAAAGGCTTTTTGGACGCGCGCTCGCACGAAAGTAGCACTTCTCGCGTTACCTAACAGCCGCAAAAGGTGATGTGATACCGCACATTAGACGTATGATGTATATCGGACGACCTAGATTTTTCATTTCCAACAGCTTGGATTGCAGTGGGAGAAAAAAAAAGATAAAAAAACTGCTCTTCGTCATCTTTCCGATGCATTTTGAAAGATACAACATACCGGCACGTATTGCGAGAACTAGTCAAAAACAAGCCGAGACGGAGACGCGCGAGACAGGACGGAGACCTTGCGCTGAGAGTAAAATGAAAAATCGCTCATACACCAACGCAGTCTGTCAAGGTCTCCATTATCAAGAAAGGTGCAGGCACCGATATTTTACGGAATTAACCGGCAGCGACACCGCTGAAAAATAGCTTTATCCTTACCGTCATCACCGGAAAACGTTTCGATGTGTTGTACGACGAAATAACATATAGGTACACACACAAGAGAGAATTCTATCAAGAACTATCGAGCGGAATTTCGTTGTGTAACGATCCGGGATAAGTTCAGAGATTAATCGTGGATCTCTTGCGTTATCGCGCGCGCGCGTGTGTGTGTAAGTATGTGTGCTTATGAAAAGTACTTTCTCACCTTCGTTTATCTGTCAGATATCTGTCTTTCTCAAACAGGTAAAGAAAATTTAATGCAATATTTTAACTAAAAAAAATAGCAAATGTTTCTACAAACAACCATAGATATTGACAGTACAATCAATCGAGATACCGCGTTGGAAAAAAGAATTGGAAGAAAGAAAAGAAATGAACCAGGAGATTTCCTCAGAGCCAGTCTCGGCGCTGTCAGATCCAAATCTTGGCCCGCGATATTTATCATCCCTCCGTCTCCCTCGATACATTAACTAGCAGTTTCGGGCCGACGTGAACTCTCGCGTCGAATACTTTATTCGCTCGATTCGTTCTACTTTTTCGAATCGAGATTTTCCGCAAACCCGCGAGAAGAAAAGCGCGCGCGATCGTAAATCATCTTGCTCAATAAAGAACCTTCCACTCCCTTTCGTCTCTTCCGTCCCTCATGACCGGTCGCGGCAATTTATTTGCCGGATACTTCGCTGTCGTATAACAGCGCGGCACTGTGATAGGATTAACCACACCCGTCCGTGCAGAAGCTCGTTCACATGAGGACAGCAATTGCGAATTGCCCATCCCGCAATTCTCTCTCTCTCTCTCTCTCTCTCTCTCTCTCTCTCTCTCTCTCTCTCTCTCCGGGTCGCTGTAACCTCCTCTCTTTCTGTCACACATTCACAAAGATTAAAAAGGAACAAAGCTATTGCTCAAAGAAGCGAGTTCCGGCTGGTTCCGTCTGCTCGTATCCCGCGCAAGCTCAGTTTTCATCAACGAACTGAACTTCAATTTCACTTAGCTTCTGACCCTCTCAAAACTCGCGTCTCGTCGCATCCCTCGAATCACCTCCATTTTCACACACAATCTACCCGTGCGCCTTCCCTCGGGGTTGCTCTTCTCGTCGGCCGTCGATATTATTTTCACGCCGGCGACAGCGAAATGTCTTCCTGTCTCGCGTCTTTCTCGTTTATTCCTTCACATTCCTTCCCCTCGTACGAATTACAACAATCATGCGAAACGACTGAATTTTTATAACTTTCGCCAGCGGCAGAATAACGTCAGTATCATCTCAATAATGTGAACGCTAATTGAGAAGATTAATTATCGGAAAAGCGATTGTTATGCTGCGTTATTGCAACTCGACGAGACTCATTAATCTCGATATCTATTGTCCAAAATTGCTCTTCGCGTTATATAATCCTCACAATAATAAAGCAAGTTGCAACTTTTTGACGAGATGTATGTATCAATATTTTGGGTTATTCAGAAATAGCGAAAATTGATAGCCTGTTAAAATCGTAAAAAAAATGCGCAATATAAAATTGTTACAATCGACAACAGTGTCTCGTATTTCTTTTTTTGCAAAACAGGTACAGATTTATTTTAAACTTGCATCACTTTGTGTA